GGCCCCGCCGCCGTCGCGGAGGACCTGTCCAAAGTGTCGGACGAGGAGCTGCTGCAGTGGAGCAAGGAGGAGCTGATCCGCAGCCTGCGGCGCGCCGAGGCCGAGAAGGTGAGCGCGATGCTGGACCACAGCAACCTCATCCGGGAGGTGAACCGCCGCCTGCAGCTGCACCTCGGCGAGATCCGGGGGCTCAAGGTGAGCGGCGCGGGGCACGGCGGGGTGGGGGGAGTGGACCGGCAAACTTTCCCCCTCTCCCGCCACCGGTGATGTCTGCCTCCTTCCCCCAGTGCGCGCCCCCTCGCCCCGCTCTCCAGCCCTTCACAAAGTTTCCCAAACTTTGCCGGCTTTTTGCTCCCCGCCTCCCCACCTCCCACGGGGTGTGCTTCCTCGTGTGGTCCTCTGAGATCGGGGGGGGGGGTCGGAGCCAAGGACGCTGAAGTCTGGGAGGGGGATGACGGGCGCACACACGGACACTCCCCCCCCCCCCGAACCAGAATGTGGATGATTTGAAGAGCTGGGTTACAGCCAAGCAGGCGGAAAGAACCAGGGGGAGCGAATTAGGGCATCTTCGCCTTTGTGGGGTGGGAGATGTAGCTGCCCAGGAGCCACCAGTTCTCAGAAAGCAGAGGGCAAAGAAAGGGCACCACTGCCGGGGAGGAGAGGACGTGGCCAGGCGCCACCCAGGATGCTCAGGACGGCCACTGCGCAAGCGAGCCCAGGCTCTGCCTCCGCTCTGCCCAGGGACCCCGTGGTGTGCGCCCCCCCGCCCCCCGCTTGATTAACACCATCACCTTACAACCCTCTGCAATTCATCGCCAGCTTGACTTCAGTCTTATCCGGCCTGGAGCGAGGTGGGGCGGGGCTCGGAGTCGAAGGCTCACGACGTGGACCAGGTGTGACAAGTGTAGGCTCGTGGCGCCCTCTTTCTGAACCTGCCCTCCTCTGCTGTCAGCACCCAGGGGCTGGACCCCAAGCCCCACCACTAACTCTCTGTTCCCCTTGGAGAGCTGGGAAGGGGCCAGCAGTGTGCCCGGCGGGCCGCAACGGGAGACCAGTGGCCGGGAACCGCCCTGCCGCCGGCACGCACGGCGACCACACGAACTTCCTTTGCTCACAGCTCGCCTGCTGCCTCCCGGTATTCCTTCCTCTCATTGTTCTGCTTTTGTTTATAGGAAGCCACACACAAAACGAAAGCGGCGCAGGGACCTCAGGGAGCAAATTCCCGCAGGCACACGCTGTTCCCGTGCCTTTCCACGCCCACCCCGCTTCTCAGGCAGCCGAGGCTGCTGAGGTCCTGGTCTCCCAGCTCCAAGATTCTGGGCAAAGGAGGAGCGGGGAGAGGCTGGATGCCCAGGGGGTCACTGTGTGCTACCCCAATCGAGGTGGGAGAGGGCTCTCTCCTGAGGCCCAAACTCACTGTCATGTATGTGTTCCAGAGTAGATGCAGTGGAGACAGTTCCTACAGTCAGGCAGATCCCAAGGCTTGTGCTTTCCGGTCTTTTAATTCGTTACTAATGGAATACTTATTAGCTACGGGGCTCTTTGGGGACCGGGACAGGCTAACCAATGGGAAAAGAATCTCAGAGGTGGAGTTGAATCCTGAATACCAGCAAGGGGAGTTTGGGTAATTTCTCAGATCTTCATTTTGTTCATGGGTAAAATGCAAATGAGAGTATTTGGGTGTTGTGATAATTAGTTATAACTGTGTAACAGGGGAAGGTTTAATATTGGACTTGACTGCAAAATATGGTGGTTTTCATCAGGGCAGACCATAAATGGATGGCCGGGTATCTCCATGAACTTTTTTTTTTTTTTTAAGGCAAAGCTGGTCAATGTCACTCTGCAGTTTAATCTTCCATGGTTTGAGATGTAATGTGACTTGGATGAATTTTTGATCAATTAATCAATTTCCCAAAGATTTTAATTGAATTGAGACTCGACATACTATTGATTATAGATACTTCTGAAAAGCTCTTTTAGGTATTGTGCACTGACTGTATGCTGGGCTAGGTATGAGTGGGGGAGGAGAGGTATGGGGAATAGGCTGCCTGGTCTTCACTGTAGTAGCTTCATCTAGAAAAGTAATTGTTAGATTAGTTAATAGTAATTATCCCCCAAATTGATCTCGAGGTTTGATTTAATGACCTGCATCACAACGTCAGGTTTTAAGAGCGATGGAAGCTGGTTACTTTCTGTCACAGGTTACATCTCTGGGCAGCTAGAGGTGGGAGACTCTAAGGCCTCTTGCCCACCCTAATTGTTCAATGGTTCTAAGGCTCTGCTTAGCTGCCAGCATTCTTCATTTTCATCTTTTTGGTTCAGAGCTTACTTGAACACCATATGTGGTTGAGCGACTAAATGGTAGGTATATTTACTTATGTGGCAAAACTGGAAGAAAAGAGGTTTTATTTTTTAGTCTCTGAGAATTTGGCATGCTTAGTTGAGGGCTATAAATGTAGGGTCTCTAAGGCCACAACACTTCTTTTGATGCCTTTTTTTGTGAGCTGACTTTGAAATTTCATTGAAGAAATTTTAAGGCTACTAGATAGAAGTACAGCTGTACAGTCTGGTCGGCTTGGGAAAACTGCTGACTTCTCTGAGCCTTATATTTCTGATCTACTTAATGGTCATCTTAATTCCACATGAGGCCTTTTGAGGGTTAAATGGTGGATAGATGCAGAAACCCTAGTGAGGTTTCATAGTTTCTCAAGGTCACAGAGACACAAACTATTTTAAATAAGGCCCTTTCCTTTCTTTTCCTTTCCTTTCTTTTTTTTCCTTCCACTTCTCCCTTTTCTGCCTCTCCTCTCTTTCTCTTCTCCTCTATTTTCTCCTTCTTTAGCTCTTTCCTTCCCTCCCTTCTCTTCTTTCTGTCCTTTCTTCCATCTCCCTTCTCTCCCTTCTGTCTCCTTCCTTTCTTCTTTCTTAGGGCTAATTCAAATTCATTGCTTAGCATGCGTGAACTCTCAAGAGATGAAGACAGGCAACTTTGGCTAGGGTTCTGACATTTGAAGGAACTGGATTCTGCCAGAGCACTTTGGGCTGCTGAGCATGTATCAATATGCAGGTTATTCTGACCCCGAATGCTGGTTGGAAGCTGATTTGGGAAGCTGTAGATTTGTGGACTCTCTTGTATTAATTTTCTTATTTGCTTCCTAATAGCCTCATTCTGCAGTGAAGGAAAAGAATACAGTACATTTTTTTCTTAACCATAGATATAGCTTTTGGTAGTCTATAGGCATATGATTTGAAATCTTTTGCAATAGTCTATGAGGTGGGCTTAAGCTTTTAAAAATTAATTTAAAGCCAGGTGTCCGTGGCTCACATCCTGTAATTCTAACTACTTGGGAGACTGAGATCTGAGGATTGCGGTTCAAAGTCAGCCCTGGAAGGAAAGTCCATGAGAGTCTTATCTATAATTAACAATCCTAGAGCTGGAAGTAGAGCTGTGGTTCAAGTGGTGGAGCACTAGTCTTGAGCAAAAACCTCAGCTCTGAGCTCAAACCTCAGGACTGCCCTTTACCCCCCCAACCCCCTCCCCCCAAAAAACAGTTAATTTTAGGCACTTGGATAACATCTGGTGACCTGTGGAAATGTTAAAGCAAACATAGAATTCTGAAGAAAACAGTCTTAAGTTTTAACATGGCAGATTTGAATAAGCTAGCTCACAAGTAAATAATACTCACAAGAAAAGTGACTCACAGGAAGAGGGAGCAATGATGAAAACACATGGGCCATGTCTACGCATCCATCTGCTATAGGATTCAGAGCAGGTCCTTTCACTTGCTTTAAGAGGATGGTAAGACCGTGCTACCACCAGTCATGACTTCCTTTCAGTTCTGGATAAATCAGGAGGAGCTATAGGAGAATTACAAGCAAATATTTTCAGTTGGAAATTCAACTGATGAAAAAGGACATGACTTGAATTTCCTACCAAATTAAACTTAGTGCTGAATACTTTTTGAAGCTTAGAAAGATTAACATTTAGTGTATTTTTTGAATACCCACAGCTTCTCATTTTCTCTAAAGCATCACTATTGAGTGATCATGTGCCCCCTTGCTGCTATAGAGCAGGGCTTGCTGAAAACAATAGTAAAAATATTTCTCAATAGCTGTAGCTGTAGTCTATTTGGGCCACAGGTCTAGGGCTTTGGAGAGTTGATCAGCCCATAAACATATACTTCAGCTGGTGCTGATGGCCCACACCTGTATTCCTAGCTACTCAGGAGACTGAGATCTGACGATTGCAGTCCAAAGCCAGCCTGAGCAGGAAAAACTGTGAGATTTTTATTTCTAATTAATCATAAAAAAGCTGGAAGTGGAGCTATGGCTCAAAGTGGTAGAGTTCTAGCCTTGAGCAAAAAAGCTCAGGGATAGCACCCAGGCACTGAGTTCAAGCCCCAGGATCACCACTACTACCACCACCAACAAAACCCCATATATTGAATGTTCACTGTATACAAAGTACCATGATAGTATATTGCATGTGCAAAGAAAGGCATCAGACATCTTTCTTCCAGAAGGTTGAGAATTATATGAGAAAGAAAAGTTTATGCTCAATGAAAGCTCAGGCCATAAGTGGCAAGTGAGTAGTGTTCTAGTGGTAGGGGAAACCTCTCAGAGGAATCCCTCCTGTAGGTTCATTTTGGTGAGAAGGTGATATTGCCTGGCTATAATATAAACATAATTAGGTGTCATGATTTTTCAACAGAGGGAGCTAAAGGTAGACAGTCAGGAGAAAGTTTTTTAGGCCTGGCTAATGGGTTTATTTGTTTTCTTTTGCAAAGAGGAAGGAGGTATTGGGGGTAGCTGAGCAGGAGAAGCAAAGTACAAAGGAAGTATTTTGAAAATGAGCCTGGTTTAGGAGTGGATTAGAGTCTGTGAGGGAACACAGAGGATGGGCAGAAGCAGGAGGCCAGGTGTGTGTATGTGGCTGTTGGTCAGACTCAGACCTGAGGTAGAAAAGTGTCCATGAGAAACAAAAGGAAGAGGAGGCACTGGAAGTAAAAAACAAACAACAACAACAAAAGTCAAACAAGGGCTGGGAAGGTGGCTCAGTGGTAGAGCGCTTGCCTTGCATGCATGAGGCCCTGGGTTCGATTCCTCAGCACCACATAAGCAAAAAAAAAAAAAAAAAAAGAAAGAAAAAAGCCGGAAGTGGCACTGTGGCTCAAGTGGGAGAGCGCTAGCCTTGAGCTGAAGAGCTGAGGGACAGCGCCCAGGCCCAGAGTTCAGGCCCCACGACCGGACCCCCCCCCAAAAAAAGTCAAACAAACTAGAGTTTCTGGGAAAGCCAATAGTTAGAATTGGAGGTGGAAAATAAGCTGCATGGGTTTTTGTCTTCTGGCCTGGAAATTTCCTTCCACTTTAGGTCTTAATGACTGTCAAGAAGTGACGGATGTTTTAAAGTTTTGTTTTTTCATCAGTATCAGAGAAAGTGTTGGAACTAACCTGAATTTGAAAAGGAAGCACGTTTCCTCTGTGAGTGTCTTTAGTTTGGGACTGGATGACAGTCATAGGAGCAGAAGTCTTTGTAGGATGCTGTGGCTACCCTTTTTCCTCCTTCCCAAACCACTGTGTTTCCTTCACTATTTGTGTGAACAGAGAAGAAAGGGGAAGTTCATAACACACTTACAAATTATCTTTAAGTAGTTTTGTATGGAGGAGTTGCCATTCGCCAAAGCTGTTTATGAATACAATGCATCTTGCTCAGTTTACCCCTTTCATCATTGTCTCCCATTCCTGTCAACTCTACCTCTTCCCTCAATTTTTTTTTTGTTGGTCATGGGGCTTGAACTTTGGGCCTGGGCACTCTCCCTCAGCTCTTCACCTCAGGGCTAGTGTCTACCTCTTGAGCCACAGTGCCACTTCAAGTGGCACTAGTGGTTAATTGGAGATAAGAGTCTCACAGAGTTTCCTGCCCTGGCTGGCTTTGATCCACTATCCTCAGATCTCAGCCTCTTGAGTAGTTAGGATTACAGGTGTGAGCCACAGGTACCCAGCTCTCAATTTTCTTAATTTTGTAGAATACGCACTGAATTTTATGACTGCATTTGCTTCTGCTTCTTCTCTTCCTGTACCCATCCCACTCTTCTTGATTTCCTCTGTCCCCTTTTGGGAACCAGTTTCCTGTTATTTAACACACTTTTGCATTCCTTAGTTTCTGGTTTCTGTGGTAGAGGTGCTGTGTTCTGGACACAGAGATGGATAGAATAGATGAGATCTATTTCATGACTTCAGTGGGGATGGAGAGCTGTAGTAACAGGCACACTCATGCACAGGTGGCTACACTGCAGTCAGCACAACAGACGGAAAGTCTAAGGGGAATTAGGTAGAAGTGGACTTCTTCACAGTGGCTTCTTTGGTTAGTAAGCACTAACCAGAGAGCATTAATAGTCATATAGAAGTCTAGGAAAACATTGGAGTGAGAGAGGAGAAGGACTTACCCTTTGAGGACCTAAAACCAAGTCCAGGAGAAGTGGCCCTCAATGCTTGATGCCCATCTTCACTCCTGCCCAACAGGCTCTTGGTTGATATCCATTGTTTCAGAGGTTTGGCGCTTGCCCTATTTCTTCACTCACATGTTTGCTCTTTCATTTAATCAAAGTCACTGCTCAGATGTTTCTTTGCTATGCAGGGTTGCCTTTAAAAAAAGTACTTTTTAACCTGCTTTATTCCCCCCCCCAGCAAATTTCATTATGTGACATAATATTTTAAACTTGTTTTTGACATCGTTTTCCACCAGAATGAAAGCTGTTGGATGTCAAGTCTTTGTCATGTCCATTGACATATCTCTGTCGTTGGGCTGATACCTGACATATAATTGATGCTTACTAATGAATGAACAGCAGGAGAAGTACACTGAATGGGAGCGTTTGGCTCTTGTGAGAATGGGGGGGGGGATTTTGCTCCATGTTCTAAGGGCAACAAGAAGCTATTAAAGAATTTTTAACATGTGAGTGGCAAGATGAACTGAACTTTGGAGGATGAGTCCTGAAGATCTGTTGGGCTCTGAAGTGGAAAATGAAGGAGGAGGATGTCAGGGGCAACCTCATTTTATCACCATGAGCAGTGGGGTGGATGGAAGTAGCTTTTGTCGAGAGATGTGACTTGGAGAGCTGGGTTAGGATATCAAGAGCTCATTGTGGCTAATGTTAAGTGTGAGATGCCTGGCAGATGTCCAGGTGAGTGTGGCAAGTAGGGGTCAGATGTGTAGGACTGAAATGCCACTAGAGGGCAATTGTGCATCTCCCTAGTGGGGTCACTGTCATTGCTCATCCCCTGTCATTGGGGACCTGAGCAAGGCTTCATTTGCCCAGTGGAAAGAAGTGCTGTCTCAGAGCCCCTAAACATGTTATAGATCAAAATCTCCCATTTTTCTTTCTTAAGGGTAGGGAAGATGAGCTTTGTTTTCCTCCAGACTGATTACCTGTTGATCAGCGAACTGGCTAGCTCTCTAAATATTGATGGAGTCATCTTGGACAAGTGAAGCTTTATGAGATCCAGTTTCCTTTTTTATAAAAGAACCATAATTACTATCTCCTGTTTTTGGTGTTATTAGACAAAATAATACAAGTATTATACAGGGAAAATAGCTGATAGCTATTATTTAAACATTAGTAGCTAGTTACCATCTTTCTGCTATTCCCTTTCCACTTCTTCCCTTAATATTCCAGAGACATCACCATTTCCAGGCTGTCCTGATCCCAGGAACTCTGAACTCACAATACCTTCCATGTGGTACTTTCCTTGGACAGTTTTCTCTCTCTTTTCAGGATATTAACCAGAAACTCCAGGAGGATAACCAGGAGCTGAGGGACCTCTGCTGTTTCCTGGATGATGACCGGCAGAAAGGCAAGAGGGTGTCCCGGGAGTGGCAAAGACTGGGCCGCTACACAGCTGGGGTGATGCACAAGGAAGTAGCTTTATATCTACAGAAGCTGAAGGAGCTGGAGGTGAAGCAGGAGGAAGTGGTGAAGGAGAACATGGAGCTCAAGGAGCTTTGCGTGCTGCTGGATGAGGAGAAAGGGGCCGGCTGTGCAGGCAGCCGCTGCTCCATCGACAGCCAGGCCAGCTTGTGCCAGCTGACAACCTCCACTGCACCTTATGTGCGGGATGTGGGTGACGGCAGTAGCACTTCCAGTACGGGCAGCACCGACAGCCCTGACCACCACAAGCATCATGCAAGTGGTGGCAGTCCTGAGCACCTGCAGAAGCCCCGGGCCGAGGGGAGTCCTGAGCACTCCAAACATAGGAGCACCAGCCCTGAACATCTGCAAAAACCCAGGGCCTCTGGCACCCCAGATCACCCCAAAGCACTCAAAGGACCTAGCCCTGAGCATCATAAGCCCTTATGCAAGGGCAGCCCTGAACAACAGAGGCACCCACACCCAGGGAGCAGCCCTGAAATGCTGCCCAAGCATATGCTCAGTGGAAGCCCAGAACATTTCCAGAAGCACAGGCCGGGGGGCAGCCCGGAACATGCCAGGCACAGTGGAGGGAGCCCTGAGCACCTTCAGAAACACACGCTTAGTGGGAGCCTGGAGCACCTGCCCCGACCCAGGGGCACCAGCCCGGAGCATCTCAAACAGCATTATGGTGGAAGCCCTGATCACAAACATGGAGGAGGAGGAGGAGGAGGCGGAGGAGGAGGAGGAGAGGGCACCCTCAGACGGCAGGCGCAAGAGGACCTGTCCCCCCATCATCGGAATGTCTACAGTGGCATGAACGGTGGGTCAGTATGTGCTGGGGAGCTGCTTTGGGGCAACACAGTAGAGTTAGGTCTGATGAAACACTTCCCCAGGAGAGCAGGAAGTGCAGGGGTGAGGGGTGGGCTGAGAGGAAGGAGGGGACATTTGTCCTGAGAACGTGTTGTGTGTTTCTTTTGCTCAATTTGGATTTGTTGTTTTGTTCAGCAGTTAGACATGTAAACCTGGAGCAGGACCAATAATTTTAAGGTCCCCGAGTTGCCAGGATGAAGTCTGTTTTGTGTTGGATAAAAATAATAGCCTTTGATCTTGACCTTGAGCATTTTCCTCCTTCTATGAGGATTTCTTGTGAAAAGGTATCCAAATGCTGTTTGAATCTAGTCACTAGCTCACATCCAGGAAGAAATGAATATATTTACTATGAGAAACACATTCAACAAAGAAATACCTTGTGCCTAAATAGGCTGGAGGTTGGTTTGCTTGATGGCCTGTAAATGCACCTGTTTCTTGAGAATTTTCTCCCTTGTGCTGGACCCAGTAGCACAAGTGGGTGACTTTTGTGAACAATTTACTTCCCTACTTACTCAAAGCTCATCAACACTGCCTTTTGGAATAGGGTGATCTTGTGCCTCTCAGGAGACACTTCTCTGGGTCCCATCAGGTCACTTTATGGTAATATACAGATGTGTGTGAAGCCTCCCTCAGTTTTCAAAGCATGATATCCCTGCATTTGCTGAGGTGGCACTAAATCTGAGCTTTTATAAAAACCTTTTGGATGAGCTTAATTTTCTGCCTCTTGGTTCTGAAACCACTTGGAACGAAAGAGAAAAAAAATCATTTCCTCAACAAAACAAAACAAAAGAGTGACCCCAGACTACAGTTCTTTTATGTTCCCCTGTGGTTGAGTTGGAATGCGAATGATTAGTTTTAGCAGCTGTGGCATTTTTTCATTCACATTGTCTAAGGGTTTTCCCCTCTGCTTGAAGGCTGCTCTAGCATCTTGGTGAAGTCAGCTCTGAGCTGTGATGGAGGAGGCTGCCAATTTTAGCAGTGACACAAAGGGTAAATTTTCAATATTGTACTTGGGGATTTACCTGTTGGATTCCATTTCATCCTAATCCTTTTCTCATAGTGCTGAAAATTGACTCTGGAAGCTTTGCTTCTAAGGCTTCCAATGTTCTTTTTAAGCACAGATAGAAGTTGGGGAAACTGCTGCTTTTCCCTTTTTCCTGTTGGGAGGTGGTAAGGAGAAGCCAATTCACCTGATAGGTGGGAACTCCTTGCTGGTACCTTTACTGGGTTCACTGAACCCACATCTCTGGTTCCAATAGATCAGTAGAGGTATCCTGATTACTATGGCCTTGGATATCTCGTTCTCCAAAATAGATGGAAAGTCATTACCAAAGGTATTTTGGTTGTGTTACTATTATGAAATAGGTCATTGGTCATGATGCTTGTCCCCAGGGGTGGCTTAGCAGGCGAATGGGAAGGTAAAGCTAATGACTTTTCCATTTCTTGATTACTTTTTAATGAGCTTGAGAAGTAACTATGTGTACTATTTTAAGGAAACTTGGTTTCTTAAACTGAACGAAAAAAGGAAATACTTAGGAGCAGGTGGCTCACTTACCAAACAATTATTCCATTAAATAAAGAACTCCAGTTTATGTTTAATTTTATTTGAAAAGTCAAACTATTTTATCTTATTTTGGAAGTATTGGAGTTTGAACGCAGGGCCTCAATTTGCTAAGCAAGAATGATATGTCTGAACCAACAGCCCTGATGGTAATATTTTTTTTGGGGGGGGCAGTCGTGGGGCTTGAACTCTGGACATGGGTGCTGTCTCTCAGCTCTTCAGCTCAAGGCTAGTGCTCTACCACTTGAGCTACAGCATCACTTCTGGCCTTTTCTGTTTATGTGGTGCTGAGGAATCAAACCCAGGGCTTCATGCATACGAAGCAAATACTCTACCACTGAGCCACCTTCCCAGCCCCAGCTGCTGGTCATTTTTTTTTTTTTTACTACTGTACAGAGAGGTTACAATTACATGGGCAAGATAATGAGTATATTTCTTATCAAGCATTGTAGCCTCCTCCTTTGTTTCCCCTTTCCATCCCATCCTCCCCCCAACCATTCCCCCCACCCAACCATCCTTCCCCCCCCCCACCAAAGTTGTAAAGTTCGTTTTCAACATAAAGACTTGCACGTCTCATTGTTGCAATGGGTCCACCTGTATCCCTATTTAAATGATTTGTTTTTTCCCTTCCCCTCCACAAATTATACAACATCAAATACAGTGAAAGCAGGGGTTATACCGTGGGGGAGGGACATACAAAGCAACAAAGAAATAATCTTATAAATGTGTTAGAAACAATCGCATGAAAGAAAAAAAAACATTTGAATACATATCTTAGGGTTCATTTCCCTAACATCAACTTATCTGACCTTTTCTGCTTGAGTCAGACATATACTAGATATTGCAAATAAGGAAAACCATGGGACCTATGTTTCTTTGGGCCTGGCTTACTTCACTTAATATAATTTTTTCCAAGTCTTTCCATTTCCTAACAAATGGGGCAATGTCATTCTTTCTGATGGAGGCATAGAATTCTATTGTGTATCTATACCGCATTTTCTTGATCCATTCATCTACTGAGGGGCATCTGGGTTGATTCCATATCTTAGCTATGGTAAATAATGCTGCAATAAACATAGTCGTGCTGGTAGCTTTAGTGTGGTCTTGTTTGTGAACATTTGAGTAAATGCCCAAAAGTGGGATTGCTGGGTCATAGGGGAGCTCTATGTGGATTCTTTTGAGGAACCTCCATACAACTTTCCAAAGTGGTTGGTTGCTGGTCATTTTTAAGACAGTCTCTTTTTCTGCCTGGGCATGTGTCTGGACTGTGATCTGCCTATTTAGGGTTCTCATAGTTGCCTGGGATGACAGAAACACATTGCTATAACCAGCTTTCTTCTGATCAGATGGAGTCCTTGGACTTTTTTGCCTGGCTAGCCTAGAACCATGCCCTTCCAATCTCAGCCTTACAAAGAGCTAAGATGAAAAGCATGAGGTACTTGAACTTGTCTTATTGCTATTATTTTAGTGATAAGTTATTTTGTGTAGATTTATTGGATAAAATGTGATGTTTTGATCTGTATGTGCAATGTGGCATGATTAAATCAAGATAATCTATCCATCATCTTACTTTCCTAGCATTTTTATGATGAATCATTTGAAATTTACCTTCTTAATTATTTTGGGGTGCATATTACATTCATCAACTACAGCCACCCTGTTGGACAACAGAACTGAAAGCGTATTCTTTCTACCTATAACTCTGTTTCCCATTGATTAACAACTCCCCATTTTTTCCCTTCCCACTGTCCTAAAGCTAGTAATCCTCAACTCCATGAGATTCCACATAGAAGTGAGATGATGTGACATTTTTATTTCTGAGTCTGGCTTTTTTCACTTAACAGTTTTATCATGTTGTTGCACATAATAGGATTTCCTTCTTTTTTATGACTGAATACTATTTCATTATATATATAAAACAAATTTTCTTCATCAATCTATTGATAAACACTTAGGCTGATTCCATATCTTGGCTAGTGTCATTACTACTACAGAAACTATGTCAGTGAAGATAACTCCTGTACATATTGATTTCAGTTCCTTAGGATATATTTTCAGAAGTAGAATTAGTTGGTCATATTATAATTCTATTTTTAGTTTCTTTTCTTTTTTTGAGAAACTACTGTTCTGCTTTCCACAATAGCTATCTTATAGCTTTTATTTTGCAATCAACAGTGTATCCCTTTCTCCCTATATTTTTCCAACATTTCTTTTTGCCAAGAGAGGAGTGTGTGTGTGTGTGTGTGTGTGTGTGTGTGTATCTCAAAAAGTAGCTAGGTTGGCCTCAAAGTCCTGAGCCAGTTGAGTGTTGGAATTACAAGCATGAGCTTATCTTTTTCTTTTTCTTTTTTAAAATAAAAGCCATTTTAACAGGTATAACTCATTAAAGTTTTAGTTTACATTTTTCTAATGATTAATGATGCTCAGAATATTTTCATGCCTATTGAGAAAGACCTCTTCATGTCCTTTGCTCATTTTTAAATTGGAACATTAGTTTCTTAGTATTGAATTGAATCCCTTATATACTATGGATAATAAACATCTATCAACTGTATGGGTGGGTTGCAAATGTTACCTTGTGTTCTGTGGTAGGTATTTCCTTGCTGTAGAGGCTGTTTTAGCTTGGTGTAGTCCCATTTTTCTCTTTTTGCTTTTGGTTGCCTGTGATTTGAGGGTGATATCCAAAATATTATTGCTTAAGCTAATGCCGTGGAACTTGACTTCTATGGTTTGTTTCTTCTAGAAATTTTAGAATTTCAGGCCTTATATTTAACTCTTTAATCCATTTTGGTGATTTGATGGATTTTTGTGTTTGGTATATGGTGTTTGCAGTTTCCTTTTTCTGTTTGTTTGCATTGAGATTTGCATTCATAGCCTCTTGTTTGCTAGGCAGGCCCTATATTACTTGAGTCACTCCTGCATCTCTTTTAGCTTTGGTTGTTTTGGAGATGGATAAGATCTTGTCTTTTTGTCTAAGCAGTTTTGGATTGTGATTCTCCTACTTAAGCTTTTGGCAGCTGTGATTACAAATATGTGCCACCACACCTAACTTTATATTGAGTGTGTGTGTGTGTTATATATATGTGTGTGTGTGTGTGTGTGTGTAGTTTTATATATAGTTATATATAGTATATAGCTATATGTATTCATGTTATAGTTATATATACACACACTCTATAACTCTATAGCTCTATAACTACATAACTATATAACTATATAACTATCTATCTATCTATCTATCTATGGGCTTAAGGATTTATTTTTGCCATTTCAGTGAAAAATGGCATTGGGATTTTGACAAAGATTGCATTGATTACTTTGGGGAGTTATGGACATTTTCATGAATATGAAATATCTTTATATTTCTTTAATTCCTTTATCAGTGTTTA